AATTTTTCTTTTTCTTTTCGGTTGCTTCTTTTTTTTATTGAGTATTTCAGAAAATGACTGTTTTCTCCTCTCGAGAACCCTTAACTGTTCCTTGTGGAAAGTTTAAGAAATCGTTCTTTCTCTCGAAAATCTCTAACTGTTCCTTATTGAAAAAATGGCTAAAAATTAGCACCAACCCGATTTCGAAATTTAATTCAAAATTATACGTATGTTGTTACTTCTCCTGTTTATTTGACTTTATGAAAATTCTTACGTTATCTGGTTAATCGATTTTCAATTTTTCTTTTTCTTTTCGGTTGCTTCTTTTTTTTATTGAGTATTTCAGAAACTGACTGTTTTCTCCTCTCGAGAACCCTCAACTGTTCCTTGCCGAAAGTTTAAAAAACTCCTGATCTAACTGTTCCTTATTGACAAAATTGCTAAAAATTAGCACCAACCCGAATTCGAAATTTAATTTTAAAACTATACGTATATTGTTACTTCTCCTGTCCATTTGACTTTATGAAAATTCTTATGTTATCTGATTAATCGGTTTTCAGTTTTTCCTTTTCTTTTCGCTTGCTCCTTTTTTTATTAAATCTTTCAGAAAATGACTGTTCCTCCCTCGAAAGTTAAAACAAAAATTAATCGCTATCGACTTGCCGATCTACGTCAAATCAATATTCCAAAAAATGAATTTGTGGGAATTACGAGCAGTCGTTGAAACAATCGAAGCAGGAAAATTGCTCGGTATAATTCGATGCGGCGGTTTGCTGGTCAAATATTTAAAATCGAAAACTGCAATCACGGGGCGCGGTAACGGCACAAGGGGAGGGGGAGGCGGGGGTGGTGCCTCGTAAATCGTCGAGATCGGGCGTCCCATCACTTTTATCAATTCCAGGCTCGAAAATGACCGAGGAATAAAAGCACCGTCGCGCAAACCGCCCGCGGCAACTGAAGTGAAATGAAGTAAAACTCGATAGCGTCGTACCGCAAATTTGCAGCTCGGTTTCCGAAATTAGCTCGATGAGGGACGCGAAAATCGGCTCCTGCGCGATCGAAATCTGCCTCCGGGCACGAAACGCCAAAGTGAACCGGGGAGAGCCGACTGGCCAACGAGCCAGATAGAGACGGAAGAGAAAGCGCAGGGAGAAAGAAAGGGTGCGAATAACCAATGAGCAACGTCCAACGGAAAGACGGAGGGAAACCAACAGGAAAAAACAGGAAGCAGGAGAAAAAGAAGAAAGAGAAGAGAAAAAAAAATAAAACGCAGAGGCAGAGAGAGAGAGTCGAAATCGAGGCGGATGCGACGGGAAACGACGCGCGTAAATACTGACGAAACCAAAAAACGTAGGCGAAAGAGAGGCGAAGAGGAACGGAACGGTACAACGGAAGAGAAAGAGGCGATTCGCGTTAAATGGGTGCTCGAGTTGGCAATTCGCAGCGCGAGCCTCGGTCGAAATTGCTTCCGTTTTTCAATTAATTCGTAACGCGAACCACGGGAAGCGCGATCTCGCGCGTACGTCAGCCTCTGGACACGCGTGCGCTGCTGCCTGGCAAAGAGACAAACGACGACGTGTGCTCCTGACAGCTCATTTCCAATTCGAGAATCCTGCTGACCGCATCGATTATACCTTTCGACTTTCCGAGTCGAGTATATCCGACGTTGGGGCATATAGATGGGAAGAGCGCGTCGATTTATTTATCGGGAAGATGACTGGTATGTATCAGACAACCGTGCGTTGTGCTATAAATCAATCCTGCGATTGGTCTCGGCTTCACGAGTTCTCGAACGTGTAAATCGACAAACTTTACGTTTACTTTACGTTAGAGTTCGAGTTATATCGAATTAAATATTCCTAAATTTNAAATTTCTGCTCGCGATTCCGAGAATAAGCTCGATACCTGCTGCGTGGTTTTCCCACGATTCTGCCACTGATAGAAATGCTATAAATCAATCCTGCGACTGGTCTCGGTACGAGTTCTCGAACGTGTAAATCGACAAACTTTACGTTTACTTTACGTTAGAGTTCGAGTTATATCGAATTAAATATTCCTAAATTTCTGCTCGCGATTCCGAGAATAAGCTCGATACCTGCTGCGTGGTTTTCCCACAATTCTGCCACTGATAGAAATGCTATAAATCAATCCTGTGACTGGTCTCGGTACGAATTCTCGAACGTGTAAATCAACAAACTTTACGTTTACTTTACGTTAGAGTTCGAGTTATATCGAATTAAATATTCCTAAATTTCTGCTCGCGATTCCGAGAATAAGCTCGATACCTGCTGCGTGGTTTTCCCACGATTCTGCCACTGATAGAAATGCTTTAAATCAATCCTGCGACTGATCTCGGTACGAGTAAATCTCGAACGTGTAAATCGACAAACTTTACGTTTACTTTACGTTAGAGTTCGAGTTATATCAAATTAAATATTCCTAAATTTCTGCTCGCGATTCCGAGAATAAGCTCGATACCTGCTGCATGGTTTTCCCACGATTCTGCCACTGATAGAAATGCTATAAATCAATCCTGCGATTGGTCTCGGTACGAGTTCTCGAACGTGTAAATCAACAAACTTTACGTTTACTTTACGTTAGAGTTCGAGTTATATCAAATTAAATATTCCTAAATTTCTGCTCGCGATTCCGAGAATAAGCTCGATACCTGCTGCGTGGTTTTCCCACGATTCTGCCACTGATAGAAATGCTATAAATCAATCCTGCGATTGGTCTCGGTACGAGTTCTCGAACGTGTAAATCAACAAACTTTACGTTTACTTTACGTTAGAGTTCGAGTTATATCAAATTAAATATTCCTAAATTTCTGCTCGCGATTCCGAGAATAAGCTCGATACCTGCTGCGTGGTTTTCCCACGATTCTGCCACTGATAGAAATGCTCGACGTTCAGGGACCACCCAGGTGCGAAGCTGAATCCCTCTGTCGGGATCTGGGACGACGCAGCGGCCGCGGCGATCGCTTGCTGGTACACCGGGTCAGGCAGCTCCGTGTAAAGACCCCGTCTACCGAACCACCCGCCGAACACGCACTTGTCGTCCGCTTGACCTACATCTTGCCGCGACTGCATCAACTCCTTCTCCAGCGTGTAAAGCGACTCGAATTCCAGAAACGACATCCCCGCCTCGTTACCACCGGCCGTGGACGAGATACGAACACCGAGACCCATCTCCTCTTGCAGGAAGTCCTCCTCGAACACCGATATGTATCTCCTGGGTGAACGTTTGGGAGAAGCCTTGGGGCAATGCTGTTGTTGCGCTTGCTGCCGCTCGTCCGGCTGAGGGTACTTTCTCGGCGACTTTTTACCGGTCTCGACGCTCTGAGCTGCTCGACGAGGCGACGACGAGGCGACGGAGGACTTGGCTGGACTCGACGAGGGTGAGTCCGTGGACGATTCCTGCGGCTTGTTCCTCGACGAGTTTCCAGTCAACGGGGAGAGCGATTTCGACGAGGTCAGTTTGCAGATTCTGCTCTTTGGCTTCGCGCCGTTGCTGCTCCTTGGGAATATCACGGATGGCTTGATTCCCGATGTGCCAGACATTCTGGCCACATTTTCCGCGGCACCGTGCGGCGAGATCGTCGTTTCCGTGATCAATGGAAATTCCCCGATGAATCATCGATGCCCACTCTCTCAAATTCGCTCACTCAAACTCGATCCTTTGTTATTTTCTTTCACGAAAAATTTGATCAACGACATAATCGCGATGTAATCACGAGTCAACGAGACAGATGGTAGGAAACCACGCACCAAAGACCTAGAGAAATGTTTCTCCGTACAGAAAGAAAGGAGGAAGAAATGGAAATGCCGCGGACCGTTCCCTCGACATTACACCGCGCAATTGCCGAGTGTGGAGAGCGAACACCCTTAGAAGGATCCTCGGCAGGACTGACGGTGTTTCAAAGCGTCCGATGCGCCACAGGACGACGTAGCCGCGGCGCGATTGTGCGCGGGCGCACATCGCTTCGACGAATCTACAACAACGTTCGCACGGCCACGCGCGGCCAAATGAGAGGCGGCGAGAAGCCGCAATTATTTCACTTACGGGCACTGCCTCGCAAATTTCCGACCAATTACTTTGCAAAGTTACTCCCGACAGCGTTTTGCCGAACTTCGGCGCCCGTAACCGGTGACAAATCGCCAGCGTGCGAGTATTATGGTACTCGTGGTATTCGCTGCAACGTGCAAGTTGCAAACCTACATACACACGTGCACTTTGTTTTGTTTGTTGTCGTTGTATCGTTGGATTTTATTGGCACCGCGTGAGAAAGATTTATTATCACTTGAACACCGAAAAGTAGCACACGTGTGCAAAATTTCAAAAGGAAGTTTCTAAACTAATTACTAAAATTATTATTCATTGAAAATATTGAAAATATTGAAGTTGAACCAACTGAAATATATCATCAGTCTTTTGTCCTCGTGTTAGTGCAAAATTTTATTCATCAAATTTCAATACCAAGAATTCTACAATAATTCGTAAGACCTCTTTTAGTTCTATCTAAAAAATCGTTTCCTTCATAATATTGAAATTAAACCAACTGACATAAATCATCACTCCTACGTACACGTATTGATCGCAAAATTTTGTTCGTCAAATTTCGTAATACCAAAAATTCCACAATAATTCGTAAGATCTCTTTTAGTTCTATCTAGAAGAAATATTATCACTTGACCACCGAAAAGTAGCACACGTGTGCAAAATTTCAAAAAAACGTCTTTAAACTAATTATTAAAATTATTATTCATTGAACATATTGAAAATATTGAAGTTAAACCAACTGAAACATATCATCAATCCTTTGTGCTCGTGTTAGTGCAAAATTTTATTCATCAAATTTCGTCAATACCAAGAATTCCACAATAATTCGTAAGACCTCTTTTAGTTCTATCTAAAAAAATCGTTTCCTTCATAATATTGAAATTAAATCAACTGAAATAAATCATCACTCCTACGTACTCGTATTGATCGCAAAATTTTGTTCGTCAATACCAAAAATTCCACTCGTAAGACCACTTTCAGTTCTATCTAAAAAGTCGTTCCTCTGTTCGCGCTGGTCCTCTTTTTCACATCAGCAGCGCCGTTAAACGGATCGAGAGATCAACGACTTGTTTGTAAGAAGGCGGCCGTTCTTGGGTGAGTACGTACTTATTTTTTGTGTCTCTTGTTGGCGAGAGGAGAAACCGCGATAAGAAGGTCGACAAAAGCTTCGAGGGTCAATATCGAAAGGTGGTTTTCCCTGATCTTCGATCGTCGGCGCGCATTTTCAAGAGGGGTTCGAGCAAGAGAAAAAATCACGAGCAAGGCGTGTGTACACGGGGGGTGAATATTATAAAAGCACTCGAGAAAGGAGAGAAAGCTGCCGGACTGGTGATGACTGCGAAATCGGCGCCGGTATGGAAAAGGTACATGAAAATGTTCGACCCTCGGAGGAAGTCTTTTCCCCCCCTCAACGATACGACAACGTGACGAGTGTCGGCGCAGTGCAAGCATAACCCTGGCTGGATTTACATATTGATAGTAAATGCTCAGCGCACCAGAAGATTTTTAATGCATGCCAAGTAACTCGTGGCCGTCTAATCAGATTTTCTGGCTACCGGGGTCGCGTCAATTAAACGACGCGAATCGTTATTTTTCAACACTTTCTCAACTACATTCTGCTGCTTTTCATCGGAATAATTTTATTATTCTGCATCGTTAGAATTTCTAATATTATTTCAAAGATTCGATATACTCTTTATCAAGAATTTGGTATTTGTAGGAAAGGAAAGAAATTTCATTTCTAAAGGAATTCTTCGAGGAGGATCGATACTTTCACATCTATATAGGCACACGTGCTGACAAAGGGATGATTAGAGGGTCCTCGAAATAATTAATAAAGCCACACCGAGCTTATGCTTGTCTGCTTTCCGATTTCTCGTTTCCCATTCAATGGCCTTCCCGGCGACTTACTTTTCCGTTTCCACGAATTCAATATAATAATGCAGACCGACGACCCTGTGGCTTAGTGCTTCGGATCAGTGGCTCCCAATTATTTCGGCAAGAAAGCACCGCCTGCACACCGACGAAGAAACGTGGAAATTATCGAGAAACCGATGACAACCGCTACCAACTTCCGACTACGCAAAGGGTGGCTTACGGAAAGCGTTATTGCCATGTCACTGGCTTCGGGATTATTACGAATCACTTTTTCCACATGAAAGTGAACCCCTCTGTACACGAAAAGCTCTCATATATGTTTCTCTTTCTCTTTCTCGTTCGAATGAAACCTTCGTCGATTACACGTATATCGATTGTCTAATTGGTTTTTCTGCTTTAGATTTGCTAAATCTGCTAGGTCGATCAGCTCCAATGAACTATTTGTCACAGGGGTATCGGTATCAATACCCATTCCTCCAACTTATTAAGCCGTGCTAAGTACATGTATTGTTATTTTCTATAAATTATTATTTTCTATGTTATTATTATTAGATTATTTTCTACGATTTCAATCAGCAATTTGCTGTACTTATATGTAATACAAACAACAATTGTGTGTTAAGTATATACATTGTTATTTTGTACATTATTCTGTACATTATTTTATTATTATTTTCTATATTATTGTTATTAGATTATCTTCTACGATTTTAATCAGCAATTTTCTGTACTTGTAGGTAATGCAAATAACAATCTAATCAAAGAATATATAATACGAAGAATATTACATATTATATATAGTATAAAAGAACCAAAAAAAAAATATATAATATGAAGCAGAAAAATATATAATAATGCAAATATTATCAAAAATTATGGAAATATTTTTTTTTTAACTCGAAGTGTAAATGAAGATTTAACGCTTGAATATACAAAGTGTGAAAATGAAAAGGAAGCTAAGTAAACGTTTCTATGAAAACGTTTCCATAAAAATTCAAATATTTCCAGAATATGCGCGCGCAACCGACAACGGCCCATTCAATGCACGCATATTGCAATAAAACTCTTGTATTTGAATCTGACCAACTATACACGAATATAACGTAAAATATAGTAGATAACGTTCAAATTTCGAATAAATTTCATTGGCTTCGTGTAAATCAGCCAAATATAAATATTTTTAATATTAACAAGATTTGAAATTTGTTGAAATTAAAGGTTAGAAACTCGCATGCAACGTATAACGTATACATTCAACGGTGAAAGATGAAAATCGTTTAATAATTACATAGATCGAAATTGATTTATAAATTAATTCATTATACAACATTTGTTGTATAATGGCTTGAAAATGTACAAGTAAAAAAAAGAATTCCGTTGTGCAGAAAGCTCTCGTGACTCGTCAGTCTTACCTGTTTCAGCTCCGGTACACGAAGATTTTTCGTTATGATCGTCCTCACGATTTACCAAACACGGAACAGGATAAAAGATAAAAGAAACAGATTCACTTACAAAGTCAATATCACTGGAAAGAAAAAGAAAGACTCGACACATTCGAACGGGACGCGCGTAACCGTGTTATATCCCCGCGCGCGGTTTCGCGACTGAGGGTGGTGAACGACGCGGAATAAATGGCGGATGAGTTCGATTCACCTAAGAAGGATATTCGAATTCCTTGCGAGTGAACCGGAATCTCTAGGAGGGAATTGCTTCCTTCCATATACTCGACAGAAACCAATTTCTGTTACGCGCCGTAACGTACAAAGCCCTATTCGACTCGAAAGATATTAAATTCGCGGGAAACCATGCAAGATTCGAATTTAATATGCTTTAGGTAAGAAGACATTCAACCTGTTTCTATCTTAAATTGTAACTTCTTTTGTAAACATGCGAGAGTTTCGTAAGAAATAATTTATTTATTTATGGTTTAAACAATGTATGCGTGTGTGAAATAAGTATTAAATATATAAATATGATTTTTAAGAATACGTTAAACTGCTGGTGCATTTCTATCTACGAGGTATGAAGTGTCGCCATCACTCGGTAAGGAACAACACCAATGTTCAGTCATTCTATTTGATGGTATGTAAGATTGTAGACAAGTGTAGGACAAATTTATCACCATTGACTAAAAACTAGACATGAAATTATATGAAACTTTGTCTGTTTTTTTTTTTTTTTTGTGTTACGTTTTCAAATACCGATTTCGAGAAAGAAATCGAAGTATTTCTTACAACATCTGTTACGATAGTTAATAAGAATGATAATTTCAAACAATATCTATAATAAAGAAATTTGTTTTTTTAAATCAGTTGTCTTATTTTAGTATAAAAAATTTAGAGAATAGTTAAAGAAAGGGGTTCTTTACTTTCTGGATCAAATTAAAAAATATACAAAGCAGAGACTGCAGCGCCAATGGAACGGTGAAATACGCAATTAAAAAATGTGCAATTCCCCATCTATAATACTGGAATACAGAGTATAAACGTCAGATTTAAGCGGGAAAGACAGCAAAAAGGAGCATCCAGAAGTTGTCAGGTAAAATTACAATCAAAACTTTTAGATCGTTTACGATTCAGTACAGTGACTAGTTAAAAATATATATACGTATATTCAATGCAGTTCTTCGTTGGTTAGAAATGTATATATCCATTTTCATGTATGCATACCTATATTATTGTACATACATATATTTGCATTTCTGAGTGTTGTCAGGAAAATA